ACCAATGGACAGAGCACGAATCGAAGCACGGATCCACGGATCAATGATGAGCACGAATCCAAGCACGGCACCCAAGTCCCCGTCGAGCAGCAAAGCAAAGCACAGTGTCTGTCTCTTATACACATCTAGATGTGTATAAGAGACAGCTCTCTCTCTCCCCCTCCCCCCACCTTTACCTGACCTCTTCCTTTGCTCCGTACCCCACCCAACCTCTGCCCTCCCTCCTTCCGTCTGCCCTCCCTCCGCCCGACTTCACCCCGCCGTCTTTCCCCTTCCTCCCAGCCTCCTTCCACTCCTCTTCCTCTTCACACATTTTCCCATGCTCATCTCCCCCTTAGCTCTTCCCTTCCTCCATACGTCACTCAACCTCTAAACTACGTTCTGCTTTCTGTCCTCCCTTCGCCCTACTTCTCCTTGCCACCTCCTTTTTCTCCCAGCCTCTGCTGGACCTTCTCTTAAACCTCCCTCTGCCCTCCCTCGCCTGGCCACCTGACTCCCCTTCCTTCCTTGGCCCGATCTCCACCTGACCTCCTGCTTCTGCCTTACTCTCTGCCGCCTTTCCCCTCCCTACAGGCCTCCTCCGCACCTTCTCTTCAACCTCCCTCTGGCCTCCGTCCGCGTGGCCGCCTCAGCCCGATCACCACCTGACCTCCTACTTCCATTCCTGCATCCGTCCTACTCCCTACCTCCCCCATCCTCCCTCGTTCGACCGCCCTTCGTCACGCCCGACCTAAGAAGTGCTGCTTTTTCTTTATCCAGTGGAAGTAAACGCTCCATTTGTTATCACGATCGCTCCATTTCTTGCAACATCTCCACACGGTTGCACACGGGCTAGAAGGAGAGAGGGAAAGCAGGAGAGAGAAAAATGCATTTCACCCAACACACTTCCTTCCTCGCACCTTCTTTGTCCTTATATGTCTCTCTTCCACCACCTCGTCTCCTTCCTCCTCAAGATCTTCCTCCTCAACATTCTCCCTCGTTTTTTTCTTTCTGGAGCGGCCTTATGATCAACTGCCAGGTATTTCAGGCTATCGATATTTCTTTCCATATTTCACTCTCTTCCTCCCCAATCCCTACACACACCACACTACGTCAG